AAATAATTGTTTATCAAATAAAGTCTAATGTTACAACTAATCAGGGATCCCTTTAAATTAATCTTCTGTAGGTGAAAAGTAGAATATCGAGAACATTTGGGTGTAAAAGAAGAATTTCCCCGTCTCTCCTCGCAGCGTCGTCACATGTGATAACAGAGTTTTTGGTTGGAGGCGCTGACACACTGATGACAGAGGACTCAGCCCTGGCTACTCATTAACTGAGTGTGTGTGTGTGTGTGTGTGTGTGTGTGTGTCAGAGGATGAGAGGGTGGGCATGTGGTTTGGACATGGGCACTTTCTGCCCCAGCTGTGCCCTGGCAGCGCTGCTTGTTTTACTGCCTGGGAGGGAACAGTGACGGCGGCAGGGTTTAATCTTTGGCCTCCAGGGTCTGATCGAAGCGCTGGCTTCAAATTAAGAGAAAAAAAAAGAAGCTAATTCCACCTTTTAGAAAAAGACGRTAATTTCTTTTCTCAAACAACTAGAAATTTCACACTACTGTTTGCTACTTTTAGATTCTAGCTATAWTTAACACCTAATTTCTAGCTGCCCTCTTGCTACTCTTAGGTTTAGGCCAGCCTTTTATTGCATTTAATGAGCCTTTTGCTACTTTAGCTTTTAGCTAACCTTTTATTACTTTTATCTTTTAGCTATCCTTTAATCATTTTTAGCTTTTTGCTACTTCCACTTTTAACTAACCTGTTTCTTCTGTTAGTTAGCCTATTGATACTTTTAGCTAGCCTTTTGCTACTTACAAGGGTGTAACTTTAGGTCTACCATCGGGGGGTTTATGGTCCCTGTGTGTCATTTTTAGCAATTATGCTTAAACGTACATACATGATATCGTTAAATGTTCAGGTAAAAACTACCCAAAGACAACAAGAGAGTTGCATCTGTCTACTTCACCAGTTCATTTCTATTACATTTGAGCAAATGTCATTTTATTGGGGGGTTATTTTGACTGGATCAAATTATTGTGGTGGGCAACACCCCCCCCCCTCCAAATTACACCTATGGCTACTTTTATTGAGACTTTCGTTACATTTTGGACTTTGTGCTCTGTAACCATTTAGCTTGCATTTTACTACATTTAGCTTTTAGCAAAACATTTGTTACATTTAGATTTAGCTAGCCTTTACCTACTTTTATCTTTTAGCAAGACTTTCGTTATATTTAGATTTAGCTAGTGCTTTGCAACCTTTTAGCTTGCATTTTGCTACATTTATATTTTAACAAGCCTTTTGTTACGTTTAGATTTAGCTAGCCTTTTGCTACTTCTATATTATATATGATTTTAATACTTTACCTTTAAGCTAACTGTCCATGACTTTTACATTTCAGCTATCCTTTCAACTCTTTTAGCTAATCTTTGCTACCTCCACTTTTAACTAACGTTTCTTCTGTTAACCCTTTGATTCTTTTATCTAACACTTTGCTACGATAAGCTTTTTTACATTTAGATTTAGCTAGTGTTTAGCTAAACTTTTAGCTTGCATTTTGCTACATTTATATTAAAAAAAAACTTTTGTTGCATTTAGACTTAGCTAGCCTTTTGCTACTTCCAGATTATTTATGATTTTAATACCTTACCTTCAAGCTAACCATCCATTATTTTTACCTTTCAGCTATCCTTTCAACTCTTTTAGCTAATCTTTGCTACCTCCACTTTTAACTAACATGTTTCTTCTGTTAGTTAGCCCTTTGAAACTTTTAGCTAACACTTTCCTGTTTATCTTTTAGTGAGCCTTTTATACATTTAGATTTAGCAAGGGTTTTGCTACTTTTTAGCTAACATTTTGATACATTTAGCATTTATGCTAGTCAAAATTCTTATTTTATACTTTTAATTATTGGCCCTTTTGTAGTTTTAGCTAGTGTTCTGTTTCTTTTAGTTTTAAAACCTCAGTTTTAGTTTCTGCAGCTGTTTCTGTTGCTGTGTTTCAAATCATTTCTGTTGAAGAAATAAACGAGCTCACAGCTTCTGAGCTCCATTAAAAACATCAACCAGTAACTGTGTCAGACGAAGTGGATTTTGTTTTTCTTTTTTCTGCACGCCGACCTCATCCTGCCATCGCTGCTTCACATCACAGCATTCCAGCCCACTTTTATCTATTCTGAGCTCACAATTAAATTTAACCACGTCCCCAATAAAACTGGGAGACTGATGGCTCCTTTTGCCACGTCGTACCTGATCAAACACCTTTCTTCCCTTTCTGTGTCACATTTACATTTCTGTTCTTTAAAAACTCTCAGTCCCTTCACTTATCTCTTTCTGTTTGATCTCTTCCTTTAGCTGATTTCTCTCCACACAACCTGCGCCTCCTCAGGATCTGATCAAATCTGTCCCACTTTTTTTTCCTTCTCTTATCTTACTTCCATCATCCTCCTGAAATTCTTCCTCTAAATATTCCCACCGTCACTGACATTTTCTGCTTCATTCCTCTCGTCCTTCCTCTCTCCACGGTGATTAGCATCCTTGATAATAAGCACACAGACCAACGTCCTACTTAACTGTCCTGATTTTAGATCCAAGTCCTCCTATCTGGGACAAGGTCCAGTGCGAGGCTCAGTGGGTCTTCTAGAGTTCCCCTGCTTAAAACCTTAGAAAGTTGTGACGGATCTGAGATGTGGACCAGATCCTATCGATTCAGGTTAGAGCGRTTTGACCATGATGGGGGTAAAAATTTAAGTTTTAATTTTAATTCCTGAGCTACTTCCTGCTTGAAAGGCTGAATATTTAGCAGCACAGTATCTGCTGAATATTCATAATGAGGATGGTTTGTGAATCATTTTGCCACCTTTAGGCGGTCCTGATCCCCCCCCCCCCCCCCCCCCCCCACAGTCTGCTGTGATGAATCAGCTCACAGGAAACTGCGTCACGTTTGACCGAGTCCCACATCCAGCCGTCATGCGGGTGAAAAAACAATTAAAAAAAAGTGAGGGTGAAGGCAGAAGCTGGCTCATGGGATGAAGAGCCGCTCTGTCAAGCACGAGGAAGGCCGAGGGGGGAATCTCAGGATTGTGACACGTTTTGTGTCAAGCGTCCGGACGCCATCTGCTCCAACGATGGCTCACTTCCTGCTGTTGGAGTGTGTGTGTGTTTGTGAACGCGTGTGAGGCGAGGCTCACCCAGGCGGCTGCCGTTGCGCGGCATGGCCATGAAGGAGCCGAGGGTTCCTCCGATGACGCTGTGCGGCCGGCGCAGCGGCGGCTTCTTGAAGGAGCCGGTGTACTGGTGCAGGAAGGAGTGCATGCTGTGGGAGGTGGGGGGCCGGCCGTTCCTCATGAAGGGCTCTGAAACACAGAAGAAGTGTTACAACACACAGGCTCTGGACCTCCAAGGACCAGCGTTAAGAGCTAACGTTTTAGCAGTGGTGGGCACAGTTCCTCTAAAGCACTAAAGCACTAATAGGGGAACTAATTTCCTGATTAGTGCTTTTGCTAATTTCTTAATTTATTAGTGGATTAGCACTTGCTAAAATTTGCGGGCTAAATTTAACAGCATTAATTGAGTTCTTTAAATGTTATTGATCAACATTATTGTCAAGCTGTCAGACGTGTTGGTCACTTCTCCACTACATCAGTGGTTTTCTAATTTTTTTTCCTTCCGACCCACAAAATAACAGTTGCAGACACTCCTGATCCCAGATATTACTTTGTTTATGTAGCAAACATTGCTAATAGCTCTGTTAAATATAGGAATAATAACTATAAACAAACAATGACTATGATACTAATTTTCATTCATTTATAATTATTTTTAAAAATTACAAAAATCATGATGAAAATATTCCTTTTTGTATTTAAATTGATGTCTGGAAGTCATCTGGGGACCCTCACTTGATGTTTTGTGACCCACAAAGCGGTCCTGACCCCAACTTTGGGAACCACTACACAGATAAAATATAAAAAATATCCTGCACACAGAAAATATTCTCATGTCGACTCTGAGGAGTGTTCCATGGTTCAGCTGGGTTTTTAGTGCTTTAGAATTAGCTTNGCCTACAGTATTTTTACAGTCTTTATTTTACAGTTAAAATAAATGTTTATTAAATAAAGTCTAATGTTACAACTAATCCTGGATTCCTTTAGTATCTGTAACAGAGTGAAGAAGTGCCGCTCACCTTCACGTTGTGCATGCTCATTATGTTCCCACAGTCGTCCATGTACTGCTTCAGATCTTTGTCCTGAAAAAATGTAAGAAAATTCACGTCTGCCACAATAAGAGGATGAATTTAGTTTGTTTTTAATTACGTGACGAATTTATTCCRGAAAACTAAAGAACAAACGTGTCGTTTTTACCAGGTACTCGAAGACGAGCGTGAGACTCTTGTCGGTGTGGACGATGTCGTGTAACGTCACGATGTTGGCGTGTTTCAGGTCCTTCAGCAGMGACACTACAGGTGAGGACGCAGGGACAGGTGTGACGAGGCGTTCGTGGACAAATAAAAACAAAAAACGGCCACTTGAAACGAAGCGGATTAAAACAGATCACCTTCTCTGATGGCGGTGCACGGGGCTCCTTCCTCGTGCTCCAGGCGGATCTCCTTCAGCGCCACCAGGTTGTCCGTCAGCTTGCTGCGGCCCTTGAACACCGTGGCGTACGTCCCCTAAACACAACACGGGTTTCTGTCAGGTTCAGGTCAGGTAACGTTTGAGTCCGGTGGGATTTTAAAGCTTCCTCACCTCTCCCAGCTTGTCCAGCTTAATGTATGTCTCCAACTTCCCAAAGCCGATCTCAGACTGGAGGAGACAGAAACAAGTCAAACTCAAGCTTTATTTTTATTATTATTTACAGGTTTAACGATTAGAGTTTAAACGAAGAGGCAGACTGCATTTTGTCTTATTTATTTTATTTTAACCTTTATTTATCCAGGTAAACTGTTTGAGAACCACTTCTCATTTACAAACATGATTATCAATTATTGAGATCAGACATTTTTCAGCATCCAACTTGTTCCGCAATTTTTGTGCCGTTTCAACGTTTCATATGTTAAAATGTTCGTCTCATTCACGCCACGAGTGCTGTGACTTTTGGAATTTCAGTAACTTTTTAGCTAATTAGCCTTTTTTAGCATTTTGTTCTCATTGAAAACAAACCTAGTTACAAACCTAATTATCTTAAACATCCTTAAAACTCTTTGAAATGTTTATAAATCGTTTGTGTACTTTTTATCTCATCTGGTTTCACTTTTTTCACTTCTTTTCTCTAATCTTAGCTGATTTCTGCTCATTTCAACGATTTTCTGCCATTTTAGCTAMTTTTAGCTTTTTTCTGCCTTTTCAGCCATCTTTCTGCTCATATATCCTTCTGATCTTTATAACTTTTTAGCTTTCTATCAGCTTCTTTTTGCCAGTTTAGGCAGATTTCTGCTCATTTCAGCTGTTTTTGGCCTTTTTAGCTACTTTGCAGCCATTTTAAGCTAATTTTAGCTTTTCAAACTACTTTCTGCTCAGTTGTTTTTATTATTTATACTTTTTCAGCTTTCTATCCTCTACTTTCTGCTACTTTAATCTTTTAATACTGTTTTTAGCTGATTTCTGCTGATTTCAGCTACTTTGTGGCTATTTTCAGCTAATTTTATCTTTTTTCTGCCTTTTCAGCCATCTTTCTGCTCAGCTATTATTCTGAGCTTTTAAAATTTTTAGACTTCTATCAGCTTCTTTCAGCTAATTTTAGCATTTCATTTTTTTAGCTGATTCTTGCTCATTTTAGCTGTTTTTGGCGTTTTTAGCTACTGCAGCTTTTTTAAGCTAATTTTAGCTTTGTCAACTTTCTGGTCAGTTTTTCTTATTTATAATTTTTCAGCTTTCTATCCTCTTCTTTCTGCTAATTTAAGCTTTTAATGCTGTTTTTAGCTGATTTCTGCTGATTTCAGCTACTTTGTAGTTATTTTCAGCTAACTTTGTATTTCTTTCTGCTTTTCAGCCATCTTTCTGCTCAGCTATTCTGATCTTTTACATTTTTTGACTTCCTTCAGCTTCTTTCAGGTAATTTTAGCATTTCGTGTTTTTAGCTGATTCCTGCTCATTTTAACTGTTTTTGGCCTTTTTAGCTACTTTGTTATCTAAATTCACCTTTTTGTAATGACTGAATCTTAATGTTTAATTCAACAAACATGCTCTTTTGGCAACTTTGTGCTAATTTCAGCTTTTTCATGTATTTTTAGCTCATTTTCTATAAATTTTTATAGCTGCTTTAGCTATTGTACAACAAATAGTAGATGTTTTCTACACTTTTTTGTTTTTCTGCCAACGTGAGCTCTTTTATTCTCTGTTCATCAGTCTCATAGTTTCAACTTGTTTACCTACTTTTGTTTGCCTACTTGCAGCTAAAATCAGCTGATGCATTTGAGCTCATTAGCAGTTTTGTTTGTAAACATTTGTTTGAAATTAGAGTTAGCTATAGTTAGCATTTTTCTGCTTGTGTCAGCATGTTTTCATTGAATCTCTCCAAGTGATAAACATGAGGTGAAGTCATTTATTCTCATTTTATTCTTCATAAATAAAACCCTGCTGGAGTCACAGCTGGCAGCATCTGCACCAAAGCTGCACAACCTGATGGGCGTAAAAGTGGGAGGTGATGAATCCATCCTTGGTGCTGCCTGGCCCAGTTGCCATGGAAACCAGCGCAGGGGGAGTCTCTATAATAAGACTGTAAAGAGCTGCGAAGCAATAAAAACAAACAAAAAAAAA